CCCCCCCCCCCCATCCATCGGTCCGCGCTCCCGCACTCCGACATCCCTCCTCGGCTCGCGCCTTTCCCTGCCGCGCGCCTCCCGTGTGGCCTCACCTGAGAAGAGACAGCCCCTAGCCGCGTGTAATTGTCGCGCACTGGGATGCACCGAGGCCCCTTCCCTTGGATCAAGACCACCAGCCGCCTCTGCCATTGTTGAGACAAGAAGACCTCCTCCTCGCAAGGGTATCCCCGCAAGTAGCAGTGTCACCCGAGCGTACGCTGTGCCCTGCCGAAGCTGAAGCCCGACAAGAGTGCTGCCACCCTCCTCCGCCCCCCTCCCTCACACCCAACTACCCACTCACTCACACACACACACACACACACACACACACACACACACACACACACACACACACACACACACATTACATCCACGCCCCCGCACACGCACGCATCCATAAACACCTGCTCGTCATCCCTCCTCCTTCGGCATGTAAACGCACGCACGCACGCACGCGGGCAGATAAACAAACACGCGCGCGCCCAATGCCACACGAAGACGACTTCGACACGAGGTCGCCACTGCTCGAGAGCAGTGCCGGCCGCGGAACCGCCCCCGGTGGGCTGACTGGCACAGTGGCTGCGGCCTTCAACTCGGCCCAGGTCGCGGTGTCGCAAGTGGTGTCCTCGGTGGCCAACTCCCCGGCCCTGCTCGGCACCGGGTACCAACCGGTTCCGGGCGGCAGTGCCGGCGAGGCCGCGCCCATGGACGGCGCCATGCGCTTTGCTCGCCCGCAGCAGCAGCAGCAGCAGCAGCAGCAGCACCAGCACCAGCACCAGCAGCCGGCCACCGGTGTCACCTCTCCGCGCATCCTCAGCCACTTGATGCCCTCGCCGCACATGCTGGCACTTCAGCACCAGCAGCACCATGCGGTCGTCGACCCGAACGACCCGCACGACCCGTCCACGGTGCTGGTCCATGCCCTTTCGCCGCAGGTGGTCCCCCTGGGGGGGGCCGGCATGCTGTCCCCCAGCCTGACGGCCGTATCTAGCATTCCGGTGGGTGCCGGGGCCCCGAGCCAGTCGGCCCGGCCGGCCGGGGTCATCCCCTACAATCCATCGCACATGCACTCGCACTTCCACTCGGAGGTCGAGTCCTATGCTACCGGCCCGGTGGGGCTGCACAGCAGCTTCGGCACCACGGCCTCCCCGGCCATGACCAGCGGCCCCCGGTCGACCTTCCTCTCGGCCCAGGCATCCCCCATGCTGGCGGCCCCCTCGCCGCGGGTGTCCACCCTGAAGGAGCTGAAGCCGCAAATGCAAAGCTCCGCCAGCTTGGCCGCACAGGCGGACGCCGCTTTCAAGAATGGCGGCCTGAGCCTGGGTTTCGATTCCATTTCCTTCCGCGTCCGCGAGCCAAGCGGCAAGAAGAAGGCCATCCTGACCAATGTCAGTGGCTTCATCGATTCGGGCCGCACGTGCGCCATCATGGGAGGATCTGGTGCGTGCGGTCCCTTGGGATTCCCCTCTCGCTGCCCTCCTTCTCCTCCCAAGGCGCGGCGGGGACATTTCATGTTCGGGGCCCGGGCGGGCGGGCGGGGGGGGGGACGTCCAATCCGGAGAGCGGGGACAAACAGAGCGAGCGAAGGAGGCAGGGCGCTTTCACCCGCATCCCATGTGAAGTGGCCCCTCATGCTCCCATTCTCCCTCTCACACATACACACGCATGATGACAACTCCCCTCACCGGCACAGGCTGCGGGAAGACCTCCCTGCTGAGTGTGCTGTCCGGCATGAACACCTCGCGCCACATCCAGGGTCAGCTGTACCTGGACGGGCAGCCGGTCAGTGCGAAGACCGTGCGCATGGTTTCGGCGTATGTCCTGCAGGATGATCGTCTTTTGCCGCGGCTGACCGTGCAGGAGACCATCCTCTTCGCGGCCAAGCTCCGTTTGCCCTTCGGCATGAGCGAGAAGGAGAAAAAGAGTCGAGTGCGTGTTTGATGGGGGTCCATGCCTTGGGGACGGGGAAGGGGGCGGG